CCCAAATCAAACGTTCAAGGCATAACTTAAGGTTACAATGTGAACAAGTCCTAACTAAAGCAATTAGGCTAAAACACACGGGTGACAAACAGAGGCACCCACGAGTGAAAAGAACCACAAATAACAGACAACAAACCACTTTCAAAGGAACATTACAAAAATAAAAAAAACAAGTTACAAATACAATTAGAAATAGCATCAAGAAGTGGCTTAATTTCCTCTAAGCCTTCATCATCAATGTCCTCCTCATCTATGAGATGGTTTAGATCCTGCAGCTCACAATTTTCCCTGCTCCCAGAAGTTGTAATGTCCTTAAACTCAACCCAGTCATTCTGTGCCCTACGTACCACTTCTTGTTCTGTGATCCACTTCTTCTCAAAAAGCGAGCAGTTCCTAGTTTTCCAGTCACCAAAGTAGATAAGTAGAAAGACTTACTCTATCTTTGATGGCTTTGGCTTCCCTAGAAACCATAACATCAGCCCACCAGTACTTAAAGGATAAAGTGACGTCATCTAGTTTCTGTCCTTGAAGTTTCCAGCAAGTTTTAGCTCTCCTGCAATAGAAGAACAAGTGCTCTAGGTCTTCTTCTGCATCCCTACAGCCCTTCAAGTCTCATCAACCTTTACTCGATCTTTTCCTGAGTTGGGCATTTGTGTTGATAAAACCATGCTAGCTTCTCTATATGAAGTTTCTAATCTTGTTTTTTATAGGCAGCTTTCAGATGTTCATCCACATTTTCCTCTGAAGCCTAGCCTGATCACTAGACTCAGATTTTCCTTTGATAAGATCGTGGTTAAGCAACAACTCATAGCTGGATTTTATGGTGAACAAGCTAGTCGTGTGATCTTTTCAAACAATCCTATCACGTTAACCCCACCAATGCAGTGTGATTTTCAGGATTTGACCTGCAGTAAAAGGGTTAAAGGTTTTAAAGTCTCTGAAGCCTAAGCCCCCAAAGTGTTCAGGATGAGTCAAAACACCCCATTGAGCCCAATGCAATCTGTTTCCCCCATCCTCCTTCTTACCCCACCAAAAGGAGGCAATTTTATTATTCAAATCAGCCAACAAAGAAAAAGGAATCTTAAAACTGGACATGACATATGTTGGGAGAGCTCCAAAAATAGTCTTAATTAAGACCGCTTTGCCAGCCTCACTCAATAATTTATTTTTCCAAATACACTTTATTTTAACACTCCCAAGAACAAACTGAAGAGTCTGTCTTTTAGACCTTCCTATACCTAAAGAGTAAAGACACACCCAAGTATTTAAGTACTTGACAAGAGATTCCATTCAAAATCAAATAGATTTCAGTTTTACTTCCTACTAGGGTATTTTTGGAGAAAAAAATAGATGACTTACTCAGATTAACCAGTTGCCCACAAGAAGCTCATAGGTAGTTGGGTGGGGGGGGGCGGCGGGCGGGGTTGTGGAGCCATAGGTAGTGGTTGGGTCGGGTGGAGTAATGTCAAAAATACTCTTAATGAGTATAATTTTTTGGATTTTTTTTTTTGGTCATTGAATTATCTGATCTTACTATTGTGATATATTCTTATTTCGAGAACTGTTATGTATATATATTGGGAATTCATTTAGTAGGATTTGTTCTTGTGAAAAATTGTGTATCTTAATTTTCCTATTCCGTTGCATGTGCTGGATGCTCGGTATAAAAGTTGCTTTATAGAATTTGTCAATACACTTTGCACTTTAAATGTCAAATATTCGATTGGTGGAAAGGGAATAAAATACAATACAAGGATAACATGAAAGGAATCCATTAAATAAGATCTGTTCTTGTGAAAAAGTGAATTATTAATTTTGCTATTCCTTTGCTTATGTAGACGCCCGGTACAAAAGTAAGTATTCATTTGATATTTTGAATTTTTTTGAGATTTAAATATATTTAAATTTTTTCAAATTTTAGACTAATTCTGTGAAATTTTAAGTGTCTGGTGAAATTTGGAGTGAGATTTCGTATATGTTTTTTTTCTTTATAAATTCCAGTACATCTTAAAAAGTATCAACAAATCCTTGTCTCAAATAAGTTAAACATATCTGTATTTTACATGACTTATTAAAATCCCAAATAAATATCTCAAGACTTTTAAAAGACTATAAAAAGCTAAATTAAATATAGCAGAATTTCTAAAATGTTTAAAAATCACAATTGAATACACCTCTCAAACTGTCTGTCAAATATTCGATTGGTTGAAAGGGAATATATACAAAGATAAAATGAAAGCTCCCCATACATATTCTTCGTTCTGTGATGCATATGTTAAGAAGCCTTGATTAGGGCAGTGGTAAAGGTCATCCACATGACAACACATATGGCCTGAACTCTCTAGCATCCATCAAAATTCTTCCATTCACACACTTTAACTATTTTATTTTTTTTATATGGCCACATAAATTATTATAATTTTCCATCCCAACCAAGACAGGGAGTTGTTTGATATCATGCAAGAATTGTTTGCAAACAAAATGACAAGTATTTCATTTAATTAAACTGATTCTAGCCTACAATCATAATCGCACTTAATTACCATTCCTATGAAGGTTAAACGACCACTAATCATTAATATTCAGGAAAATATCTAATTTTAATCCTAATCCATTAAATTTTTATCATTTCTTATTGTAGCATATAATAGTATCAACCCATAATAACTTATCAAAGCATTGAATTGTCATAGAACAGTAGAAGAACCCAACTCGTTGCAAGTTTAGTTAATTAAAAAACGGTGGGTATGTTTTTAATTAAAAAATACCAACTATTACAAATACAATAATCAATAATTGCGGCCTAATTTTGGGGGCCCATCAAAGTGGACCATAAAATTAGAATAGATTAGAAGTTGAGAACCCAACCAAACACGTCACACCCAATTTCCATTTTGCTTGCTAAATAAAACCTCACTTTCTCTATCAATTACCCATACATTTCCATTCCATGCACCTAAAGAGACGTCACAAAATTCCATTTCCATCTCCATTTTTTCTCCTCCTCCAAAAAGCATAGCTCCATACCTAACATTATTGTTATTATTTCACCCTCATAAAACCTAACTTACNNNNAGGATCCGAAAAAATTCTCTCATGGCTAGGCTCAAAATATTCCAATTCATTATTTTTGTAGCCCTAATTTCAATTTCCGCCCAATCGGAAAATAATTCGATCGATTCAAGAAAACTCGACGAGGAGAACAAGTGCGGAGGCTGTCCCTGCAACAACCCCTGCAATCCGCCGTCGCCACCGCCGCCGCCGCCATCACCGCCGCCGCCGCCGCCGAAGAGACAACCACCCAGCAGCAACTGTCCGCCTCCACCCAGCGGCGGCGGCAGCGGCGGCGGTGGAGGAGGAGGCCAGAACCCGCCGTATCTGCCCAGCACACCAAGCGCGCCTTACATATTCATTAACGGGCCGCCTCAGGATCTGTACCCGGTCGACAATTTCTCCGGTTCGGGCAGGGTCTTCTCGACCGGACCGGTTCGGCTCTTGATCGGCGGCTTTGTGGGGCTGGTGGCTTTGTGGTGAAGAAAAGTATAGAAGGGAGCAGATTTTTACTTTTACGAGGACGTATATACAGAATTCTGAGTATGGATTGAATTAAGGATTAGATTATTGCCTTTTTTCATCCTAATTCCTTCTTAGTTTATTTTATGTTAAATATTTCGGTTAAAGTGTTTAATACTTTAAATAACATTTTCGTGATATATTTTCCTTTTTCTTTTCTGTGAATAACTTGTGGAGATTGAATACTTCACTTTCACCGTGTTAGTAGTTCTTTTTTACCATATTTTTCCTGTTCATTTGTGTAGCTTTCGGAAAGAAAATAATACTCTTCCTCCATTTAATATTAAGTATCCATTTACATTGAATTTTTTATTTTTAATATTTATCATTTTGCACAGTTTCTATAATTTATAAAATATAAAAAGAATAAATATTAAACATAGAGGAAAATAATCAAATGTAAGAAGTGAAAGAAAAATTGAAGAACGAAAAGTAATAACGATGATTAATAAAAAAAATATTATATAAATCTAAAATTTAATGAGACACGGCAAAGATTAATATTTGTCAAAATATGAATTGTTAATTCTATTTTTTAATGATAAATGAGGAATGCGTTGTAGATAAATAACAAATAAAATATAATAATGAAATAAAAAAGGCAAACGCATTTAACTGACTAAAGTATAGGTTTCTTGTATATTAGAGCTGTTAAATTAAACGAGCTGCTCGTGAGCTCATTTAAAGTTCGTTCTGTTAACGAATCGAGCTCAGTTCGACTCGAAATAAGAGTCGTTAAGGTTCAAAAATATGATTTTTATGTATTTTTCAATAATTTTGCTCGATTTTGACTCGTTAAATTAATGAGTCAACCAGAGCCGACACCCCTACGTGTGATATACATGGATGTCAAGTTAATATTAAAATTTAGTGTGTTTTAATTTTTTCGTTTGTATTTATTTATTTATTTATTAAATAAGCATTTCCTTATAGAAAGTTACATGTCATCCACCAGCTTGTTCTCCCACTAGTCTCTCTATTTAAGTAGAAGTTTGTTATTATTTGGGTCCACCACAACTAATAGTTGGATTGAGGTGTCATTAAGCATACGAAGTGCCTAAATTATTAATTTATGCAACCTAAAGTTTGGTTCGTTCTTAAATATATTTTGAGACCCTTTTTCCTATTTTATTTTGTATTTAAATCTCTCTTGCAGATTAATCTAATATATTTTTTTTTTCACATTTAAGACGTTCCAAAAATTTCAACGGGAAATAAATAATAGATGTTGTCATAAAGGTCTTTTAAAGGAGCGTTTGGTGAAAGGAACAAAGAAAGCTCATCTTTATCTACAAAAAACAGCTCATGTTCATACATTGAATTAATTTTAATGAGATTATAGCATACGGCGACTTGTTTTTAGCAGTTAGTGATTTCATTTGACTTGTTGGAACTTTGAGTACTCCGTGCTTTATTTCAAAAATTATGTACAAAATCGTGATCCATCTAACTATCATGACGAATGAATATATGGAAGATAA